CTTTGTCTGTTTTGCAATGCACGACACTCAAGTGCTGCACTGTTCACACATTGATTTGACTCTTTTTGATTTGATTGTTTTTATAAAGAATAGAAATAAAAAACTTGGGGAGGGGACATAGAATAACAGATTTGGAAGGGACCTTGGAGGCCTTCTAGTTCAACCCCCTGCTCAGGCAGGAAACCCTATACCATTTCAGACAAATGGCTGTCCAGTCTCTTCTTAAAAATCTCTATGTTGAAGCACCCACAACTGGTAATTCCACCGGTTAATTCTTTTCACTGTCAGGAAATTTCTCCTCAGTTCTGGATTACTTCTCTCCTTGGTTGGTTTCCATGCATTGCTTCTCGTCCTGCCTTCTGGGGCTTTGCAAAGTGGGATAAAAAAAGACCACGTTGGATAAGAGAGCAAGTTTTCTTTTCTTTTTTAAATTCCTGGATGTTTCCATTCTAGTTCCACCCCTTTCTGGAGAAGAATGAGTTTTGCAATCTTTCCCAAAAGAAACTGTACTTGGACCAAAATGGAGAGGTGACGGCAGACCTGAACCTCATGAGCTCGGTGGTTCTGCCCAAGGAGAACCCAGTGAAGTTGCAACTGGGGAGTCTTGACAGACAGAGACTTATCATCAACCAAGAGGCTCTTTCACGGCTGAAGCTGCTCAACAAGGTGGGAGAAATATTTCAACATTTCAATTTTCCAAAGCCTCATAACCCATTTTAAGTGGGCTAAGCCTAGTCCTAAATTTTCTGTCTTATTTATCCAGTGGGATAAAAAGTGTGCATTTATTTATATCTTGCCTTTATCATTTGTATAAATAACTCAAAGCAACTAACTTACCCAATGCACATTCCTCCTCCTATTTTTCCCACAACAACCCTGCGAGGTGGGCTGGGCTGAGAGAGAATGAGTGGCCCAAGATCACCCAGCCAGGTTTCATGGCTAAAGCAGGACTTGAACTCACAGCCACTTGCTTTCTAGCCAGGTGCCTTCTCCACTAGACCAAAGTGGCTCAAAACAGTTAATAAAATGACAAACAATAATATAACTTCTTGAACTTCTTGACCGCCTCCTGCCAGTCACCTCCCAAAGACCCATTAGATCGCAGAGACTAGGCCTCCTCCGACTTCCATCTTAGGGCACTGATGGTGAACCCTTTTGGCACCATGCCCAAACCAGAACTCGCACTCGTGCATGTACACTGGAGCGCCAGAAACCATGTGCACGTACGCACTGGCCAGCGAGTCTTCCAGTTTTTGGTGCATGAACGGGTGCCGGCCAGCTGCTCTTTGCACAAGCCGGAGCACCGGAAACCAGAAGACCAGTTGGCGATGGTGCCCGTGCCCACAAAGAGGGCTCTGCGTGCCACCTCTGGCACATGCGCCATAGGCTCACCATCATGGGTATAGAATTACTACTCAGGAGGTTGGACTAGAAGACCTCAAAGGTCCTCCCAGCTCTATTCCGGTGAATTGAAGTTAGAGATTTCATAGTTAAGTGAAACCCAGAGACTCCTTTGGCTGATGTCCATTTAATTTTCCTTGTTTTTCTTCTTTTCTTCATTTATTTCTCTTCCCTTCAGAAGTTGGGTGTTCTACTGAGTTAATATAATCCAATAGTAACCCAATTCCAGAAATAAACAAACCCAGCTGTAAATTAGCTTTCCTCAAACAGAGCAAAGCAAAGGGGGGAAAAAACCCACAAGTACTCCTTAAATTTTCTCCCAATGTCCAAATTATCTTCTCCGGTATAGCCAAGGTCGAATCGTCCAGCTGCTACTTCTCTTGTTTTATCTATTTTAGTCTTAGTATATATTTCACCCACCAAGCCTGCTGAGCTTTGAATATTGTAGTACTTTTTTTTCTCCAGTAGATGGCACCCTAACTTTCTGTTCCATATAAGGTAGCCTAAGAAATACAGCTGATTGTCAAAATATCCATGAGAGAGAGAACTTCTCAGAAGCAAGATTGACAACCAAAGGTAACCTGCTCAAATAGCAGATGGAGGAGATGGAGATTACTTAAGTGATGCTACAAGCAACCAGCTGCGGAGAGAGAAGTCCACAAAAAATTATTTAGGAAATAGAAGATCAATTCCACAAATGACAAAAGAAATAAGACTCTAGTATTACTGGAAGGATATCGGCTGATATATGAAAGTTGATAATAAAAATTTAGTTCGTTTTAGTAATTAGTGATTAGTAATTTAGTAATTTCTAGAGTGCTATGTTAAATAAATAATTGATAAG